TCATCATCATCATCATCATCATCATCATCATCGCGTCTACCGTTGTCGACGTTGCCATGATACCCCGCCGGCCCAAGTCGCCGACTCGCACTGACGTGCCCGCTGGGAAGTGCCCAGCGGTCAGCCCCACCGCGCCGCATCGGTAGCGCCAAATTATCATGCGCGGGCTAGCGCGGCCGCAGAGATGCACCAGCCAACTCCAAGCACTCATCACAATCGCCTCCGCATGGGTTTTGCAAACCAAGTTGCGTGTGGGTGGGTGGGATGATTGCGCGGGCAGTGGAGTGGACAACCCACTGCGAACATAAATTATTTGCACTCCATAAAGTGCAGCAAATCGCTTGCAGCGCGCAGATGGCACCACCCACGCACAGAGCGCACATCGAAAGTGCAATCTCCCACTGTTTGGGGCCCATGCTGGCAAACCTTCATTGCATACTGCCCTCCCGCAGGGCACACTTAGGCGGCAATTCGGCTGCGCTCTGAGACGGCAATTAGGCGGCACTTGGCTGGCCATGAGGCGGCACTTGGCGGCACGCGCCCGCATTCGGGCGACACTTCGCGGCATTTTAAGTGGCACTTGGGCGCCAGTGGATGCCGCCAAGTGCCGAACAAGTGCCTGTCAATGCCGCACGGGTGCCGCTAAGTGTCGGCTAGGTGCCGCGTCTGACACGCGATCCGCGGACACCTGGAGCGTCGTCGGGACCGAACCCCCCGCCGAGGCTACGGAAAGGATGTTGACGCACAGGTTGGAATCGGCGGGTTGGCACGACCACGTCAGCTCGGTGGCGTCCCCTGGTGCTGCGGCATGCACGAACAGCCCATTGCAGGAGGTCAGTTCTGTTGGAATTGTGACCAGGGACATGATACCGATCGTGGTCGTTGTCGTGGTTGTGATGGACGTCGGGGTGGTGGAGCTCGTGATGCTAGTGCTCGTGGAGGTGGTCACTGTGCTCGAGATGGAGCTGGCGGTGGTGGATGTCGCGGTTGTGCTTGTTGCAGTGGTAGTCGTCATGCTGCTGCTGGTCGTCGAAAGCGTCGTACGTGTTGCAGTGAGCGTCATGCTATCGACCGTCGGCGGGCTGATAGCCTCCACCGTCACTGTGTAACTCGCGCCCTGGCTCGCAAGGCTGGCCACGGTTAAAGTCTGCATGGTCGACGCGGCATCCCCGGCAGTCAGCGCAGAGGTAATGTCCGAGTTGGCCGAGCTGGACGTACCCGGCCCGCCAGAAGTCGTGACGGCGTAGCTCACCACCACGGAACTCGCAGAGAGCGCCCTGGCGCCCACGCGTGGCATGATGGGCGCCCGCGCTGGCACGAGACGCCTGGCGAGGCTGAGGGTGACGTCCACTTGGCTGGCTGGCACGCCCACCATGCTGGCGATGCCGTCTGTCACGGCCGCTGCGGCTCTTGGGTCACTCACGAAAGTCGCTGGGTCGGAGACGGATAGGCTCATGGTGCCAGATATGGTGTTGACAACTTGCACAGTCGTTGTAGAAGTGTTCGTTTCGGACGTGGTGCTGGAGCTCGTGCCCGATGTTGTTGAGGACATGGAGGCAGTCGTGAGCGTCGTAGATGAAGAAACAGTTAAGGTGCTCCTCGTGGAGATGGTGGTGGTAGCAGTGCTGGTGCCAGTGGTGCTGGACAGTGTGTTGCTGGTCATAGTGGTGCTGCTAGTCCTGGTCGTGCTCGTCACCGAGGTGCTGCTGCTTCCCGTCGTGCTGGTCACAGTGCTGCTGCTGGTGGCGCTGGTGCTGCTGCGCGTGCTGCTGCTGCTTCCTGTCGTGCTTGTCACACTGGTACTGCTGGTGGCGCTGGTACTGCTGCGCGTGGTGCTGCTGCTTCCTGTCGTGCTGCTGGTTGCACTGGTGCTGCTGCGCGTGGTTCTGCTGGTTGCCGTTGTACTAGTAATAGTGGTGCTGCTGGTTGCACTGGTGCTGCTGCGCGTGCTGCTGCTTGTACCGGTCGTGCTGCTAACACTGGTGCTGCTGGTCACACTGGTGCTGCTGCGCGTGGTGCTGCTGCTTCCTGTCGTGCTGGTCACACTGGTGCTGCTGCTTCCAGTCGTGCTGCTAACAGTGGTGCTGCTGGTTGCACTGGTGCTGCTGCGCGTGGTGCTGCTGCTCCCCGTCGTACTGGTCACAGTGCTGCTGCTGGTTGCACTGGTGCTGCTGCGCGTGGTGCTGCTGCTTCCCGTCGTGCTGGTCACACTGGTGCTGCTGCTTCCTGTCGTGCTGGTCACACTGGTGCTGCTGGTGGCAGTGGTGCTGCTGCTCCCGGTCGTGCTGGTCACAGTTGCGCTGCTGCTCCCCGTCGTGCTGGTCACACTGGTGCTGCTGCTTCCAGTCGTGCTGCTAACAGTGGTGCTGCTGGTGGCAGTGGTGCTGCTGCGCGTGGTGCTGCTGGTTCCCGTCGCGCTTGTGACACTGGTGGTGCTGCTTACGCTGGTGCTGCTGAACGTGGTACTGCTCGTACGGGTCGTGCTGGTCACACTGGTGCTGCTGGTCACACTGGTGCTGCTGCTTGCGCTGCTGCTGCTCCCTGTCGTGCTGGTCACACTGGTACTGCTGGTGGCACTGGTGCTGCTGCGCGTGGTGCTGCTGCTTCCCGTTCTGCTGGTCACACTGGTGCTGCTGCTCCCGGTCGTGCTGGTCACACTGGTGCTGCTGGTTGCACTGGTGCTGCTACGCGTGGTGCTGCTGCTTCCCGTCGTGCTGCTGGTGGCACTGGTACTGCTGCGCGTGGTGCTGCTGGTTGCCGTTGTGCTGGTAATAGTGGTGCTGCTGGTGGCGCTGGTACTGCTGCGCGTGGTGCTGCTGCTTCCCGTCGTACTCGTGACCGTGGTGGTGCTGCTGCCCGTCGTGCTGGTGACAGTGCTGCTGCTGGTGGCGCTGGTGCTGCCCGTGTTGCTGGTCGCAGTGGTGCTGCTAGTCCTGGTCGTGTTCGTCACCGTGGTGCTGCTGCTTCCCGTCGTGCTGGTCACAGTGCTGCTGCTGGTGGCGCTGGTGCTGCTGCGCGTGCTGCTGCTGCTTTCTGTCGTGCTGGTAACAGTGGTACTGCTGGTGGCGCTGGTGCTGCTGCGCGTGGTGCTGCTGCTTCCCGTCGTGCTGCTAGTTGCACTGGTGCTGCTGCGCGTGGTACTGCTGGTTGCCGTTGTGCTGCTGGTTTCACTGGTGCTGCTGCGCGTGGTGCTGCTGCTCCCCGTCGTGCTGCTAACACTGGTGCTGCTGCTTCCTGTCGTGCTGGTCACAGTGCTGCTGCTCGTTGCGCTGGTGTTGCTGCGCGTGCTACTGCTGCTTCCTGTCGTGCTGGTCACACTGGTACTGCTGGTGGCGCTGGTGCTGCTGCGCGTGCTGCTGCTGCTGCTTTTGGTCGTGGTTGTGACGGTGGTGCTGCTGGTGGCACTGGTACTGCTGCGCGTGGTGCTGCTGGTGCCGGTCGTGCTGGTCACACTAGTGGTGCTGCTTGCACTGGTGCTGCTGCGCGTGGTAGTGCTTGTACCGGTCGTGCTGCTAACAGTGGTGCTGCTCGTGGCGCTGGTGCTGGTCACACTGCTGCTGCTGCTGCTCTCGGTCGTGCTGGTCACACTGGTGCTGCTGCTTCCCGTCGTGCTGTGAACAGTGCTGCTGCTGGTTGCGCTGGAGCTGCTGCGGGTGGTGCTGCTACTCTCAGTCGTGCTGGTCACAGTTCTGCTGCTGGTGGCAGTGGTACTGCTGCACGTGGTGCTGCTGCTTCCCGTTGTGCTGGTCACACTGGTGCTGCTGGTGGCGCTGGTGCTGGTGCGCGTGGTACTGCTGGTTGCCGTTAAGCTGGTCACACTTGTGCTGCTGGTTGCACTGGTGCTGCTGCGCGTGGTGCTGCTGCTCCCAGTCGTGTTGGTCAGACTGGTACTGCTGGTTGCGCTGGTGCTGCTGCGCGTGGTACTACTTGTACCGGTCGTGCTGCTTGCACTGATGCTGCTGCTTGCGCTGGTGCTGCTGCTCCCAGTCGTGCTCGTCACACTGGTGGTGCTGCTTCCCGTCGTGCTGGTCACGGTGCTGCTGCTGGTGGCGCTGGTGCTGCTGCGCGTGGTGCTGCTGCTTCCTGTCGTGCTGGTCACACTGGTAATGCTGGTGGCGCTGGTGCTGCTGAGAGTGGTGCTGCTGGTTCCCGTCGTGCTGCTGGTTACACTGGTGCTACTGCGCGTGGTGCTGCTGGTTGCCGTGGTGCTGCTGGTTGCACTGGTGCTGCTGCGCGTGGTGCTGCTTGTATCGGTCGTGCTGGTCACACTGGTGCTGCTGGTGGCGCTGGTGCTGCTGCGCGTGGTGCTGCTTGTACCGGTCGTGCTGGTCACCGTGGTGCTGCTGCTCACCGTCGTGCTGGTCACAGTGCTGCTGCTGGTGGCGCTGGTACTGCTGCGCGTGGTGCTGCTGCTTCCCGTCGTGCTGCTGGTTACACTGGTGCTACTGCGCGTGGTGCTGCTGGTTGCCGTGGTGCTGGTAATAGTGGTGCTGCTGGTGGCGCTGGTGCTGCTGCGCGTGGTGCTGCTTGTGTCGGTCGTGCTGCTGACAGTGGTGCTGCTGGTGGCACTGGTGCTGCTGCGCGTGGTGCTGCTTGTACCGGTCGTGCTGGTCACAGTGGTGCTGCTGGTGGCACTGGTGCTGCTGCGCGTGGCGCTGCTGCTCCCAGTCGTGCTGGTCGCTGTGGTGCTGCTGCTTCCCGTCGTGCTGGTCACGGTGCTGCTGCTGGTGGCGCTGGTGCTGCTGCGCGTGGTGCTGCTGCTTCCTGTCGTGCTGGTCACACTGGTACTGCTGGTGGCGGTGGTACTGCTGCGCGTGGTGCTGCTGGTTGCCGTCGTGCTACTGGTTGCACTGGTGCTGCTGCGCGTGGTGCTGCTGGTTTCCGTTGTGCTGGTAATAGTGGTGCTGCTGGTGGCGCTGGTGCTGCTGCGCGTGGTGCTGCTGCTCCCGGTCGTGCTCGTCACCGTGGTGCTGCTGGTCACAGTGGTGCTGCTGGTGGCGCTGGTGCTGCTGCGCGTGGTGCTGCTGCTTCCCGTCGTGCTGGTCACAGTGGTGCTGCTGGTGGCGCTGGTACTGCTGTGCGTGGTGCTGCTGCTTCCCGTTGTGCTGCTGGTTGCGCTGGTGCTGCTGCGCGTGGTGCTGCTTGTTGCCGTTGTGCTGGTAATAGTGGTGCTGCTGGTTGCACTGGTGCTGCTGAGCGTGGTGCTGCTTGTACTGGTCGTGCTGCTGACAGTGGTGCTGCTGGTGGCACTGGTGCTGCTGCGCGTGGTGCTGCTGCTCCTCGTCGTGCTCGTCACCGTGGTGCTGCTGCTGGTGGCGCTGGTGGTGCTGCGCGTTGTGCTGCTGCTTCCTGTCGTGCTTGTCACGCTGGTACTGCTGGTTGCGCTGGTGCTGCTACGCGTGGTGCTGCTGCTTCCCGTCGTGCTGCTGGTTGCACTGGTGCTGCTGCGCGTGGTGCTGCTGGTTGCCGTTGTGCTGCTGGATGCACTGGTGCTGCTGCGCGTGGTGCTGCTGCTCCCCGTTGTGCTGCTGACAGTGGTGCTGCTGGTGGCACTGGTGCTGCTGCGCGTGGTGCTGCTGCTCAACGTCGTGCTCGTCACTGTGGTGCTGCTTGTGCCAGTCGTGCTGCTAACAGTGGTGCTGCTGGTGGCACTGGTGCTGCTGCGCGTGGTGCTGCTGCTTCCTGTCGTGCTGGTCACACTGGTGCTGCTGGTGGCGCTGGTGCTGCTGCGCGTGGTGCTGCTGCTTCCCGTCGTGCTGCTGGTTGCACTGGTGCTGCTGCGCGTGGTGCTGCTGGTTGCCGTTGTACTGGTAACACTGGTGCTGCTGGTTGCACTGGTGCTACTGCGCGTGGTGCTGCTTGTACCGGTCGTGCTGCTAACAGTGGTGCTGCTGGTGGCACTGGTGCTGCTGCGCGTGGTGCTGCTGCTCCTCGTCGTGCTCGTCACCGTGGTGCTGCTGCTTCCCGTCGTGCTGGTCACAGTGGTGCTGCTGGTGGCGCTGGTGCTGCTGCGCGTGGTAGTGCTGCTTCCTGTCGTGCTGGTTACACTGGTACTGCTGGTGGCGCTGGTACTGCTGCGCGTGGTGCTGCTGCTTGCCGTCGTGCTGCTGGTTGCACTGGTGCTGCTGCGCGTGGTGCTGCTGGTTGCCGTTGTGCTGGTCACACTGGTGCTGTGGTTTGCCCCACTGGTGCTGCTGCGCGTGTGCTGCATGGCAGCGTGCATGCTGACAGTGGTGTTGCTGGGGGCACTGGTGCTGCGGCTCCTGGTTCGTGCTCGTCAATGTGGTGCTGTACTTCCCGTCGTGGGTCACCAGGAGTTGCTGCTGTTGCGTGGTGCTGTGCGCGTGATGTGCTGCTTCCCGTCGTGCGCTCACAATGTACTGCTGGTGGCAGCGTATTGCTGCGGTGCTGCTGCTGCTTCCGTCGGCTGGGGTGCACGGTTGCTGCTGCGGACGGAGGCTGCTGGGTGGCCGTTGGCTGGTAATTAGTGGTGATTGCTGGATGCACTGTGCGCTGCGCGTGGGGCTGATGCTCCGGTCGTTGTGCTAACAGTGGGCTGCTGGTGGAACTGGTGCTGATCGCGTGGTGATGGCTCCTGGTCGTGCTCGCACCGTGTGCTGCTGCTTCCGTCGTGCTGTTCACAGTGGTGCTGCTGGTGGCGCTGGTGCTGCTGCGCGTGCTGCTGCTGCTTCCCGTCGTGCTCGTCACACTGGTACTGCTGGTGGCGCTGGTACTGCTGCGCGTGCTGCTGCTGCTTCCCGTCGTGCTGCTGGTTGCACTGGTGCTGCTGCGCGTGGTGCTGCTGGTTGCCGTTGTGCTGGTAATAGTGGTGCTGCTGGATGCACTGGTGCTGCTGCGCGTGGTGCTGCTGCTCCCGGTCGTGCTGCTAACAGTGGTGCTGCTGGTGGCACTGGTGCTGCTGCGCGTGGTGCTGCTGCTCCTGGTCGTGCTCGTCACCGTGGTGCTGCTGCTTCCCGTCGTGCTGGTCACAGTGGTGCTGCTGGTGGCGCTGGTGCTGCTGCGCGTGCTGCTGCTGCTTCCCGTCGTGCTCGTCACACTGGTACTGCTGGTGGCGCTGGTACTGCTGCGCGTGCTGCTGCTGCTTCCCGTCGTGCTGCTGGTTGCACTGGTGCTGCTGCGCGTGGTGCTGCTGGTTGCCGTTGTGCTGGTAATAGTGGTGCTGCTGGATGCACTGGTGCTGCTGCGCGTGGTGCTGCTGCTCCCGGTCGTGCTGCTAACAGTGGTGCTGTTACGTCCCGCTGTGCTGTCACAGTGGTGATGCGTTTCTTCGGGGGGGGGTGATGGGGCGTGGTGCTGGTGCGCGTGCGGTGCGGTCTTCTGTGTGCCTGGTCACAATGGTAAGCTGGGTGGCGCTGGTGCTGCTGCGCGTGGTGCTGCTGCTTCCCGTCGTGCTGCTGGTGGCGCTGGTGCTGCTGCGCGTGCTGCTGCTGCTTCCCGTCGTGCTGGTCACACTGGTGCTACTGGTTGCACTGGTGCTGC